CTCACCCAGTTAAAGACATGGTTGATCAACTGTCTGAGTTCCAGTTTGCCAAATATGGATCAATTAGCTGATTGCAGCAAATTCTGCCTATATTTGCATAGGAATAAGAAGAGTCCTAAAGGGGGAAAACCACACTTCCAGGACCTACAAACACCTCTTAGCAGGTCTCTTGCCCCCCTCTTGCTGTTTGCAAGACTGGCAGGCTGTCATGCCCTGTCCACAGGTAGAGCTACTGCCAACACCCACCTGCCTGACAGACTGTTGTGTTTAAAATCTTGTAATTAGAACGTGTTGCTTGGGGATCCCGAACCCGTTTCGTAGCCGATGAAGGCTGCAGGGACTTGTTTTACGGTATCAGACTAGCCGTAGCACCGGCAGGAGGTTGGGCTGGATGACCTTTCTGGACAGGTTCCAACTCGGCAGGGGTCAGATCCCGTGAAAGCACAGTGGGTCCCCCTCCTCCCAAGGAGCTGCCCCCCCGTGGCTTATTCCACTCCCTGGAGCCTCTGAGACTTCCACAAGCCACTCAAGGCCAACCGTCTCCCCAGGTCCATGGTGTTCCATGGAGATCCCAGGGCCGAGAGGAGAACGGCCCAGCCCGAGGGGGCATATCAACTCCCAGTGGGGTAGCCCCAAAGGGCTTTCTCTTTGGTCCTCACACTGGGGAACCTTTGGGGATGCGAGGAGCAATGGGGGGGGCTTGGTCACAGTCCCCTGGGTAACAAGCTATCAGCAGGGGCAGAGTGGGAGTGGGTGGGTTCGGGTTTGGCAGACTGTCCCCCAAACCCTTGGTGAGCGGCGGCAGCCCACCAGAGAACACGGTGAGGTCCTTTTGTGAGAGATCAGTGCCTGGGAGTGGGGAGGGGGGAGCAGGGGGGTCTCGGCACTCGCTCTGGCCACAGAGGGACCCGATCCACAGATTCCTCTCCCAGTTGCTGCTTGCAGATCTCTGCACGCAGACTCTAGGGTTTGTGAGGCTGCTTCCTCCAGTGGGCACAGCACTCGAAGGCTAAGCTGTGCTCCTGTTTTGCATCTTCCCCTGCAAGAGCCATTTCTATCCTTGGGGTAAGGATCAGGCTTGCACTTTGTGCGCGTCCTCATCCTCCTGCCTTGCTGCTGACATACACACCTAAGTGGGAGTCGAGGGTTCAGGAACATCTAGGGCTCTCCACTGGGGTGTCTCAGACGGGGATGCAGTACCTGGGCTTGGAGACACCAGCCGAAGAAATGACAAGGCACACGGCCAGCGCGTCCAGGGACCTTCTTCGGAGCTGCAGGCCCTCTCAGGCCCCCAGTTTAACAGAAGACTAACCACAAAGGAGCAACGCTGGTGGCCAGCGGAAGAACCAAAGTCAATGCCAGCCCCCCAAATGCAAGGAAGCGCACATTGTCCTGCTCATTATATGGCAGTGAAGAGGGGCCAGAAGGTGGGGGCTTGTTTTCTGTCCTCCATGGCATCTCTTGGATTGTGTCCTTCACACCGTGGTTCCTGGTGGCGACTGGGCAGATATTTATTATTTATTTATTTATTTATTTAATTTATATCCCGCCTATCCGAATCACATAGGACCACTCTAGGCGGCTTACAAGAGTGGGGAACAGATGGGGAACAGACCAACTCTTCCACCAGCTGCCCTGAGGGATTTCCCCAGCCTCTGTCGGAGAAGCTCCCTGGCAGCTGCCCGGCTCTGGGCAAGGCAGATGGGGCTTTGGGGAGGCCTCCAGGGTTTGGGGGGATCCCTTCCAGCTATTTTCAGCGGGATGAGGGGCATTAAACCAAAGTGACCCCCTTGGCAAAATGAGGGGCCAGGACACCTCAAGTCGAGGAGCTGAGGAATAGCACAGCTCAGGAATCACCCTGGCTTCACCTGGTCTTGATGGCCAAGACTATTTCTGGCTTATGTCGCACACAAACGGTCACCTTTTCGGGTCAGGGATGAGCTCCTGGAGCTGAGGCCTGTGGGACGGTGGAATCGCCTCCCTGGGAGGGCATGGCCTGTCCTTCACTGAACTGGTCTCCAAACAGAGGAGGGAGAGGCATCTCTCAGGAAGGCTTTCGCTATGCGTTTCCTGCCAGACCAGAAGGCTGGACTAGATGGTCTTTGGGATCCCTCCCAGATCTACTCACTTGAATCACTTCTAAACCAGAGTTTGCAGAGTTACATTTTGTACTATATCTCCCAGAATCCCCAACCTCAACATGGGATTTGTAGTGCCCCAGAGTAACACATCTACACATCCATTGGAATCAGAATAGCTGGTCTTGGGGGCACCGTGAGGGTCAGCATGCCTAAGGGCCAGATCCACTTGAGGAGGTGCAAAGTCTCCTGGGCCTATTGGGTCACCTCTGGAAGATTAGGAGAGTGTTGCCACTGCCCCCCAAAGCTGGCTGTCATGGGGACTGGGGCCAGGCATGGCCCAATAACCTGCGTGGAACCTATGGGTGAGGTGATACCAAGAGCAACTTCCCCAAGAATCCAAATAAAAAGCCAAGGTGGGGTCTGGAGCTGGAAAATGCGAAACAACTCCTTGGCGTCACTGGGGTTTTCTCTTCTGGCCCCTCTTACACATTGGGCCACCCGATGCTACCAGACAAAGAGCCGAACCAGCACAGAGGAGAAGGCCACGGGATGGTCTGAGCCCGGAATCCCAAATCCTACACTCCCCTCCACAAAGCATGGAAGGGGAAGAAAAAGCAGTAATGCTTGGAGAATATCACACCAGAAGCATGCACACACACACACAGACACACACAAATGAGTACACAAACATGGGCGTAGCATGCCCAGCAACAAAAGCAGGCCTCCCCTG